GTTGATACACTACAAATATATATAAAAATCCGCGAAAAAATCCGAAAAGATAGTTTTATTAAATTATTTGCTTTCTAATACAAGCTATCATTTCCATTTTCACCCCCTTAAGAAATGATTTCCGAGATAAAAAGTATCCGATGTCCTTCCCAGGATCTCAAACTATCTTCTTACCAAATTTCATCCCAATCGGTTCAGTAGTTTCGGAGCTTATTTGGTACAAGCAAACAAATAAATAAACAAACAAAAAAAAACTTTCCTCTTTATGTTATTAGTTTATATGTAGATAAAAGTCCGCTACGTTACAGTGGCCGCCATCAAAATTGCATGACTATAGTAAGCATGCATATTGTAGTTTAAATAGAAAATTGGTTTAAATTAACTGTAAAGTCCTCGAACTTGTCCAGGCCAGAGAAAACTACTGCAAACCAAATATAATTCGGTGAGTGTACGTCATATTTTGAGGGCAACACACTTAATCATTTACATGGTATGATTATCCTTTGTAAGCAGTTAGAAAAACGCTTAGACATATATACATATAATAAAATTGTAACTAAGCCGAATCTGTACATTAAATATTTTTTCGAAAATCTTATTGAAATAAACATTATTATCGATACAGAGGCCGAATCTACGAGTATAGTTTTTAGAATTTTTGTCTGTCTGCCTGTCTGTTATCGCATCACAGAAAAACCACTGGAGGGATTTTGATGAAATTTGGTATGGTGATAGCTGCTTATCCGGGTCAACATATAGGATACTTTTTACAGCGGGAAAATGTCTCATTTCTGAAAAAAAATACAAAACTGCAAAGTAACAGTATACTTAATACTGATATGTAAAACCTAAGAATTTGGTTTTTGGTCTCTAAGGTAAAACGTTATATATTTTTTTAACAACTTCAAAATTAAGGCAGATAAATAAATGATTTTTTTTTAAGTTTGTGGTAAGTAATGCTCCATATTCATTTTCAGCAAAAATCCGTCCTCATGGAAGGAATAATTCATTTTAAATGAAACTATTTCGTCGGATTTTGAAACAATTTTATTTTATACGAGGTATATTTTAAATTGAAAAAAACCAGCTAACTTCATCATGTTGCTTTTTGGCTGTCGGTGTGTGCGCGCATCGTAACAATTTTACTTAGGTACATAATTTTTTCCAAATGTGCCAAAAGAAGGTTAACTTCAAAAAAGCGGAAGTAAAACAGGGAAATGCAATAGTTTATTGTCATAATGTCAGCTTTAACACATAAAATGAACGATGGCCATGAAAATGTTATGCGTTCATTTACTCTATACATTAGATGTATGACAGTAAAAGTGATAACGAGTTATGTAATATATAAAATTGTATGTATCAACGTATATATTTAGCGTATAAGAAAAATTTTCAATTGATATTTTTACGTAGGTACTAAAGTTGTAGAACATCTCATGTTCAATTTTGTTCTATTTTTTCACTCAATTCGGGTGTATAGGCAAATAATAACATTAATATTATAGAGGTTTGCATGTGTGTATGTCTGTTACTTTTTTACGCAGAAACGGCTGATGGATTGTGATGAAACTTAGTCCATATACTCTAGATGGCGACCTGGAGTAATATATAGGTCTACTATTAGTTATGAAATTTGCCAAAAGGTGACGCTGTTTGAATGCCCCCAACGGGACTCGAACCCGCGACCGCTAGCACAGCAAGTAGGGTCACTACAAGTTCAAACTGAGCGAAACGTGTCGTCAATCTTTATCCGAGCGAGGCCGCGGTCAAAAACTATACTATGATAATAGTCTGTTGCAATGCAGCTGCGTATGGCTGGCACCTACACTGGAGGTTACGGGTTCAACCGGCCAAATAACTGGCTAGAATAAGTTTTCGTCATATTCAAATACGAAAATGAATTCTAAATTTTACTATCTTGTATGAAGGAATATGAAACGAAAGTTATCTATTAGATAACAATCAATATTTTTAAAGTGAAAATTTCTTCAGCGCGATTATTGTTAGGGGCAAGTGGATTCGCGTCACCGACATGATACGTGTGACATGTGACGTGTCAACGCAGTCTGGCGTCGGGCAGCGTCATATATTTTGATTGTATTATGTATTCAGCCCTTTTTAAAGTCCCACTGCTGGGCACGGGCCACCCTTCAATACAAGGGGATCAGGCCATAGTCCACCACGCTGGCCAAGTGCGGGTTGGCGGACTTCACATGTCTTTCGAAAACTTGCTAGGTTCTCTCAGAAATGCAGGTTTCCTCACGATGTTTTCCTTCACCGTAAGGCAAGTGGTAATCATGTTAGAAATGATTCGCACATGAAAATATCAGAGGTGCGAGACCTGGGATTTGAACTCGCTTCACTCGGTTTCTCAAGCGAACGCGTTATATTTTGATTAATCAATAAATAAATTAAAAATAATTTCAATGTACACATTAAGAAATTTTTATTATTCATACTATGTATAATTAATTTAAAAAATCACAGTTATTCCAAAATTATAAGTTTTCATTTCTGTTGGCAGTCCCTATGACTGCCTAATGCCTATTTTTTTTTTGTTTTTAGTAAAATGCTATAATGTCAATCTTCAGAGTTCAGGGTCAGGCAAACTATAAAAATTCAATGAAGCCTCAGACTATGTAAATTGTAAATACCTCTAAATTGAAATATTGTTATAAGAAAAACTAAATATGCATGCATAAAAATATTGGAATTTGGAACTAATTTAGATTCAAATGAATACCACAATAATTTAGAAATAGGTTATAAATTATAATCGACATCCAAAACTTTAAGCTAACAAAAACACTATTTCAGAAAGGTACTATTTTTATCGTAGACTGAGAATACTATATCTGTCTACGATTATTATTGATCAGTAGATAACGGATATTAAGATTTATCATATTACTAGCATTGCCCGCCTTCAGATGACCAAAAACTAAATTCTTAAGTTTTACATATTAGAATACTCTTACATTGCAGTTTTTGTATTTTTTCTCAGAAATGAGATATTTTCCCGCGGTAAAAAGTATCCTACATATATTGACCCAGATAGCCAGCTATCACCTTACCAAAATTCATAAAATCCCTCCAGTGGTTTTTTTGTGATGCGGTAACAGACAGGCATACAGACAAAAATTCTAAAAACTATAGATTCGGCCTCTGTATCGATAATAATGTTTATTTAAATAAGATTTTCCAAATTATACTTAATGTACAGATTCGGCTTAGATACAATTTTATTATATGTATAGATGAATTAGCTCCAAAGTTCAAAAGGTCACGCCTACGCCAGCGCGGTGACGTCATCGTTACGCAGTCTCAGCTTCCATTCATACGTCACCTTATCTGCCACAGAAGACTTCAAGCCTTCATGGTTTCTCCACAGCTGTACTTCATAGACCAAGGATTTAAACTTTAATGCTTTTAATTTCGTTTAATGTTATTTTAATTTGAATTTGTAAGCATTTTCCGATATCTTAGTAATAATAAGTGTAAGTTTAGATGTTTGTTACTCAATTACTCCAGAAGGGCTGAACGGATCTGAATGAAATTTGGCACAGAGATAGATTATAGTTTGGAATAGCCCATAGGCTACTTTTTATCCGATAAAATAATTTGTTTGTTGGTGAGATAATTTGTTTTTCTAGAGGCTTGAGCGAAGTGAGGGTGAGCCGCTAGTATTATATAATTGATTGGTTGACACAGTTAATAATTCTTATTAAGTAATCTAAATTTGTGGATGGATGACAAATGCATTCTTTTGTCATTGTATAAATTTAACTGAATTAAAATAAAAAACTATTTAAATTGAATATCTAAAAAGGATATCTTGCTATCATCTTTAAGTATTGAAATTTAATATACCTAGTATTTAAAATAATACTTTTTTCAAAGTAATGGTTTGGATAGGTTAGTTATATAAAGGTTTATTTTATTTTTGACAAAATATGAATTTTGGACCCTGTTAATAGTTTCTTATGAAGATGAACATGTGACATAAAACAGGCTATTTTTTTTAAATTTTTTTTTAATTAAACTAGTACTTAAGGTTAAGGCATTTAAAAATAGTGACCTGATGCTATCAATGTTTAATAAATATTTAAAAAGTAACTTTCATATTTCTAATATAAATTATAAACATTTTAATTACATAATTAAATTAGCAAGATTTTTCCTAGTATTGTCTCATTAATTTAATTGAACCATTTAATGCTAGATAATTTCAACAAAAAATCTATTTGATATTATATTATAATGTACTTTTGCAATTATTGTTGATAAATATGAGATTTTAAATAAGTGAAGGGCAACTTGTTAGGTAACATCCAAATAAAAGACAGGATTAACATTTCTATATTATAATCACTCGTTTGCATGAATTTTTCATTACAAAAACTCGCACCCGAGGGAATAAATCACAAATGCAGCTCACCCACACCGAAAGTTACCTACTCTACATGTTACCTGCACTACTTGTAAATGAAACAAACACTCAGCCAGTTACATAACTGCCATCACATGATAAGATTCACAAATTGAATTCAAGCATTACATAATTCACTACATACTCCCTATTATGTCTACTTATAGGTTTTAGAAACCAAGGTCCAAAAATCACTTTCAATAACTATAATACAGAACAAATTAAGGACTTATGTCGGCAAACCTTGGCCTATTTGCCACAATGTCACTAACAAAGAGGTTACATAACTGTCAAGAAAATGATGACTGAATGTTACCTACAAATATATAATCTAAATTTACTTTTAATAGCAAATTGCCAGCATTTTTTAAGTATAATATGTTACATAACAATATTTTTAATGAAACAAATTTTTCTGGAATCATTGTATAACACTTTATTTAACTAAAAATAAGTTACTAGGATGTTTTTTGAGTCTAAATAATACATGATTTCAGGGGAGTGGCTAGTGTGATTTAGAATCACAATTGAAATTATTATGGTAACAATAATTCTTACATTAGATTTAGATGACCTTCTTGATCTCGTCGTATAAGACGAGTACGAAAGCACCACCCGTTCCTCTGAGGACGTTGGAGAAGGCTCCCTTGAAGAAGGCGGAGGCTCCCTCGGTCTTGGCGATGGTGGCCCAGCAGTGAATGGTGTTCTTGTACAGGACATCAGCCTTGGCACGTCCAGACTGCATCATCATACGCCTACGGACCGTGTCGAAGGGATACGAGATGATACCGGCAACTGTTGTAACGGTTTGCGCAATGGCCCAGCTGATGACGATGGGTGTGTTCTTGGGGTCAGGCAACATGCCGCGGGCGGTGTCGTAGAAACCGAAGTATGACGCACGGTAGATAATGATACCTTGTACGGACACACCGAAACCCCTGTACAGACCGATGAGACCGTCAGATTTGAAGATTTTGGTAAGGCAGTTGCCGAGGCCGCTGAACTCACGTTGGCCATCGCCTTTGCCGACATCGGCGGCCAGACGGGTACGGGCGAAGTCGAGTGGGTACACGAAGCATAGCGAGGTGGCTCCGGCGGCACCACCGGACGCAAGGTTACCGGCGAAGTAGCGCCAGAACTGTGTATTCTTGTCTACTCCTCCGAGGAAGACCTGCTTGTACTTATCCTTGAAAGCAAAGTTAAGCGCCTGGGTGGGGAAGTACCTGATGACGTTGGCGAAGTTACCACGCCAGAAGGAGAGCAGACCCTGCTCTTTGGGAATGCGGACGAAGGCGTCGACGATACCTTTGTAGCGCTGGTCTACGGCGATCTGCTTGCTCACATGCTGTACTTGAAGTAGCAGTTTGACACGCTCGATAGGGGCTACTGCGGTTTTTGAGACGGCAGCGGAGATACCACCGGCAAGGAAATCCTTTGCGAACGCGACTGGATCGGCGAGGTTCGACATTTTGTTTAATTAGGTGGGCTCTGCACTGAGACTATTACCTCACGGGCGTCGAGGTGGAAACTGCGAGTTCACACGCGGAATGGCAAAATCACGAAACACGAACTCCCGATTATTGAATCAGGAGATATAGAGTAATTTCGTGATCTCGGGAGCACAGGGGTAGGTGTGTGCCTTTTTTGAAATTCGATCGATCACGTTCTCTCGCAGTTCTGCCTAGCGGAGCGGCGCAAAAGAAGGAAGAAGGGGTAGATGTTGCCAACCTGACGATAAACTACCACGAGGTCAGTGTGGCTATTCGAATTAAACCTATTTACATTAAATTTTATTTTGTTTCAATCTTATTTAGAAATGTTAAAATATCTAAAGAAAGCAATTTCATAATTTTATAAATAAGTATATATATTATATTAAAGATCAATTTAATTACAGGTAAATTTACTATAATGAATATAAGTAAAAACATCAATAATTAAATAAATGTTACATTGCACTCATTTCTAGAGATTTCAGCTTCGATTTAAATTAACAGTATTAATATTATGAACAGTATGAACAATATTAATTAAACATGGTAAATATATAAAAATGTGGTATTTATAGAAATTTATACCACAATTTATGGAAAAAATATCTAGTGGCAACACAGACACAATACCAATCATTGCGTTTAATTTTATGTATAGAAATACATATATTGGTTACGTAACGCTAATAAACAATCAATAATAGATTTTTATGTTTAGAATTCTTTTACGAATCTATTATTAATTTTGAAGGCGTTATGAAATGTTTCTATTACCACATAAAGGAATGTTAATAAGTTTAATTATTTCTATGAAAACATTACTAACAAATTTAATGCAATAACTAAACGTAAACAGAATGTTGCCAGCTATTTAATATAAAGTGTTTGAAATCGAAAATGCTCGGTCATACACTATGTCGAATGTTGGTCAACCTGTACAATTATAATTAATCTGTTTCCAAAATTGACAATCTCATTAAAACTTATGTGTTATTTTTAGTCTGTTAAAAAAATAAATTAGAAGAATTTCATAGGTAAGTGGAATTAGTGTTTTAGGAATTTGATGTTTTTATTTAGTACATGCTAATTAATTTTATTGTATAGCATGCAGATGAGTCGTATGAATTCACCTGCTATCGGAATGGATGAAGACATTGGTGCGGGTCATGCTTTAAGCGATTTTTTACTTCAACTAGAAAACTATAGTCCATCTATACCAGATTCTGTTGTTGCTTATTATTTGAATATGTCTGGCTTTGAATCGCAGGATCCAAGGTATTGTATATGATAGTGTGAAAATATCCAAAAAAACAAATTTTTAAATGAATTTTCATACATGGACTGCATAAATTTGTCAATAACAAATGTATGCAGCCTATGTATACTTTGTAATTGCTCATTTAATAAATAGTGATGTATACATATAAATACTATCCCTTAATAGCTATAAAATTCTCTACTTAAATACTTCTAATTTCTATTGACACAATAATTTGAGACAATTTTATAGAAATTGTTAATTAAATAATAAATCACTTCTACATATTTAGAGTTTAATAAAAATAAAATGATGCTTACCAGAATTATATTTCATATTATATAGTAGTTTATGTAATGTTAAGGTTTTATTTAATCACAAATTTTGACAAGATAAACATAATATTTAAAATTATTTACAGATTGATTCGACTAATAGCTCTTGCATCACAAAAGTTTTTATCAGATATAGCTAATGATGCTCTACAACATTGTAAAATGCGAACTTCCAGTCAAATAAATCAAAGTTCAAAGAACCAAAAGGGACCAAAGGAAAAGAAGTATGTTATGACAATGGAGGACTTAGTTCCAGCTCTGCAGGAATATGGAATCTCTGCTAAAAAACCACACTATTTTGTTTGAAGAGGGCTAGAAATATAAATTTTGTTATTTCATGATATTAGAACAATGATGATTTTTAATTTATTAATGTGTCAATCAATTTAGACATTTCACTCAGTATCTATTTCATGATTTTTTTTGCTGAATACATGTTAGTCTGCAGTACACACCTTTTTTTAATGATTAATAACATCTGGGAGACAGTATCCTAGTGTAGGACCGAGTTTTACCATTTGTAGGATGATGTGATCATTTAACTATACAAATAAATACTGTGAAAATCAGTCTGTTATTAACAGATTTTATGATTTGTTATTTTAACAAGTTCAGAGAGAAGGACAATTTGATCATCATCATTTTGACATGTTCCATATCAATCCACAATTGTATCTACCACTATCCAATTTTTGTAGAAGGAAATGTTGGGTGTCTTGTCAAAAAGAACCTACTTGTGAAGTTTCAGCTTGTTATTAATCATTGAAATGAAATAAACTTTATTCAATTAGACTTATTACAAGCCCTTTTGAATCGTCAATTTAAGCACCAGTGTAGTCCGTGAGGAAGCTACCACCGGCTCGGCTGTTCTCCTGAGGAGAACCGGCAAGAAACTCGACAGTTGCTCTTTTTTATTTTAAATTTAAAATAAGGTGTGGTGTACTGTAGACTGTTGTTTTTAAAGAATTTTCTTTTGTATTTTAAATATGAATTAGTTTAAGATCCCGATCTATGTGGTGGGCCCCTCACTCTTTCCAGGCGAAATATATTTTTTAAACCATAACACTTTAAAAAACATACCCAGGGGAGTTGTCACCAAAAATTTGTTCCAGGCTATTTTAAATATTTTTCTTTTTTTTTTTAAGTATTAAAAGAGTCTGCCCACTACATCATCTTAAAAACTCTTTTCTTGTGACCCCTCCCCTGGGTCATGTTTGTTAATATGTTTTATAGTAAAATAATATATTTCGCCTAGAAAAAGAGTGAGGGATCCACCGCATAGATCGGGATCTCCTACTAAATAACTGCCAATACAAAACAGTAAAAGATTCATATTACACCCCTACATTGTTCTATTGTTGTGGTGAAAAGAAAAGTCAGAATCTATCAGTTTTTCATAATACTTATGTGGTATATTTAAAGTGATTACTTCTATACATTGGGTGGATATTGATGACTGTTTTTTTTTTGTTAGAATTTTAGTTTGGGAAAGGTTTAGTTTGTTTTTTAATGTAAGTTTTTTGTTTTTATTAATTTAAGAAGCTAAATGATTAAGATCTTTACGGTAATTTTCTACTTTTGTTCTTCTAACTGTAAAAGGTGTTATTTTAGAGTATAAATCACTAGTAAATATTGGTTTTTTGCCCAAGCCAGTGAAGCTGGGAGAATTCAAAGTTACCCCAATTGTATTCAGCCCTTTTAACAAGCCAATGCTGTTGGGACGGACCTCCCTTCAAAATAAGGGAACAGGCCATAGTCCGCCACTCTGGCCAAGTGCAGGTAGACTGCACAATGCACATGTCTTTCGAATACTTGCTAGATTTTCTCAGACATGCAGGTTTCCTCGGTTTTCCTTCACCATAAGACAAGTGGTGATTATGTAGGAAGTGACCCTAATTGGCTGTATTTTTTTAGTTTATTTCAATGTATGTACTTTTGCCCAATGTATGAAGGTAGAGTTATGGTGCTTCCACACAGCATTTAAAAAATGTTAGGTAACATCACATACATAACATTTTTTAACGCGCAAAACTTATTTTAACATTTGTAACTTGTTAATTGGGTAGATGTTTTCAAAGCTTCCACACTGATAACCATTCTGGAAACCCTGCTGTCAGTTTTAATGTTTTTAAAAGAAAAGTTACAAATTGTTATGTTTTGCTTCAAATTGTTTTGTTAGCAAATGTTGGAAAACATTTCATAAAAAGACAATATTTAATAACTTTTGTTATAAAATGTTCATTAACAAATATTTACTAATATTTTTTAACGTCTGTGTGGAAGCACCCTTAGTGAAATTTTGAACTGATATCAAGTTGAATGTTTGTGCGGTCCACATTATTTGTTAAGTTTTAACTAGAATATGTAAATTGAGACTGGAATATATTTTTTTTTAACCAAAATAATATGAATGTAACATTTATACTAACTTATGTAAATATATAAGGTAAAATCTATGTTTGTTTTATTCTACACTACTTTTTGTCTGTAGAGCGGGGGTTAAGGGTAGCTTTTCTCCGATCCCAGGATGCAATCTATGTTTTTACTAAATTTTATCAAAATCTATTCAGAGGGTTTAAGCGTGAAAACATAACAGACAACTACATTCACATTTTATTAGTATGGATTAAAAAGCTCAGGTTTTTTTTTAAGTTTTATTTTATAAATCTATACAGATAAATAAAATTTGAAGTGTCTGTTTGCAATGTCAAAATAACAGCTTTTTGCTAAATATATATGAAAGTATATACATGTTTGTCTGAATGTTCCAGTTAAACTCCGAAACGACTGGATCAATTTTAACCGGACTTTCACTGGCAGATAGCTGCTGTTATAAGGAGTAGCTTAGGCTACTTTTATTTAACTTACTTTTTACTATAGGTTCTAACTATCCCATGGGAACTCTTTAATTTTCCGGGATAAAAAGTATCTAAAATGTTGACCGGTCCTACAATTTCGGAGAATAGACAAACAGACAAACAAAAAATTTGAAAAAAGTCGGGATTTTCAAAAAAATTGAAAAAATAACTGGATTTTCTACTTCCCTTCTTATATCCCCCTGACTCGGGTTTTAGTAAAATTTTTTGTATGTACAGACATTCGACCTCTACAGTTTTATTATAATATGTATAGAAGATATACGAGCCGAATAAAATACCATGTCTAAGTTTCTAACATACATTAAAAAAAGATGTGTTATTTTTTTTATTTTATATACTTATTCAATGTTATACCTTAATTCGTTCGATCATCGCAGTTGCAAGTACCATTGATATTACCAGCACAAGCAAATTGCTTATACGATGGCGGATAACGACAACAGCATTTCGTACCTTTATTAAAAATTATAAATTAAAAGTAGCTAATATTATTATTATTAATCTATACTCGTACATATATAATAAAATTCTAACTGAGTCGAATCTATATCCATACTAATATTATAAATGTGATAGTGTGTTTGTTTGTTTGTTTGTCCTTCTTTCACGTCAAAACGGAGTGACGGATTGGCCCGATTTTTTGTGTGGAAATAGTTGGAGGACTGGAGAGAGACATATTTTTTACCGTGGGTGATTATCTCCTTCCCACGGGAAAACACGTTATAATACAACCCAAAAAATTATTTATGATCAGAATTACTTGAAACTTAGTATTAATGCTCTTCAATACAATTAAATTAATACGTGCTTTAGCTTTTTTCGAAATTCACCCCATAAGGGATGAATCCAATATTTTACCCCCTTATAGTTTGTATGAAATGTACCTTTTTAGAGTTTTTTTATAGTTTTAGCGCAAGCGATGCCGCGGGTTCTTCTAGTATTAAATATTTTTGGGAAAATCTTATTGAAATAGTTTTTAGAATTTTTGTCTGTCTGTCTGTGACAGCATCACGAGAAAATCATGACAGATTTTGATGAAATTTGGTATGATGTTTATCCGGGTCAACATATAGGATACTTATTATTGCGAAAATATATCTCATCTCTGAGAAATCGCTACTAAACGTTAAAATGTAATTAGGGATGAATCAGAGCGGATCGAGGGTGAGTTGCCAGTAGAGTTTAAAAAGATTGCAGATTCGATCCCTTTTTTGTTTGATATCCACGCCATATAGGTAATATGCAGACAAATAAAAATGCAAAGTGATCGTTTCTTAAGTGTTTAGTTGGATTCATTAAAGTGGTTTGACTCGAATCTTTTTGTAAAAGTAGAAATAAATACACGCTACTAACCTGAATGCAAATGCAAAGTAAACTTAAATGCAAAGCATTGCATGTAAATTTGTACGCGTGTATTTTGGTTACACGATCACGCCGAAGAGGGTTCGCGAATTTGGATGAAATTCGGTACACAAACTATGAAATGGATTTACAAGTAGGCTAGTTTTAGTAGTAAAATTTGCTACATGGTGGCGCTGCCTGTATTTAATATTAAAAAAAGATCGAAATTGAACAAATTTTGGGTGTCTCTAGTGTATCATAAATACAAAATTAAACGTAAATACCTTGGTTAGCAGTACATGCGACTGAAGCACATGATATTGTACCAATATCACGGTCACAAGTCTTTTTCGTGCATTTCTGATCTTTTCCTTCATCTTTGTCTGTACAAGCACACTCTACGTTTTTCGTAGAAAACTTGTCCAATCGATGTTCGTATGACGTATCTTGCCCCATGCCACTTCTAAACTTATTTTCCAATCCGCTTATTCCGTGTTTACAACATCCCTTCCCCTGTCTAGAACCTGAAGTAAGAGTTTCTGAGAATACTCTATTTTTGCTTTGTAATTTCTGTTTTTGTATTTCTGGATTCATCATTGGTGAGTACACTACTGGTTTTTGTGCAGGAGCAGATTCTTTGCAGCATGATTTCTCTTGGAATACATTCTGTCTTTGATTTGGTGAAATTGCAATATTATCCTCATCTATATCTCTTAAAGCCCTTTCTCGTGATCCTCTCTCATTTGGTTGAAGATCATTCAAATATAGGGAATTATTGCGCTCATGATTGTATGTTTTGCCATTTAAAGTGTATCTTTCAGATTCGTTTTGAACTGGATTAAAACCTGTTTGAATATTCGCAAATTCTTGAGATTTAACAGGTGATATTTTTGTCGTAATTCCTTTGGTATCGCTTGCCTTCATCAATTGTTGTGCAGATGTATATTCTGTAGGGCTTCTATTCATACTAATTATATGTTCTTTAGGTGAATTTGCTGAAGGTCTCGACGTGCCCAAACCGTAAGTATCCTGAGGAGATCGAATAAAACGTTCATCCCTATCATACTCACAATTTTTTTCAGGATAAACGTCATTTTGTCTTGGATATTCTATATTATTATTAAGTGATGAAGTTTGTGCCCTATTATTTAATAGATCTAAATCTCTTTGCTTTATTTGAATATATTTTGATTGACAACAAGGATTTAATGTTCCATTTCGTTCGTTGTAAAAGTCCTTACGGTTCACATTTGGTTGGTTAAAATTGTCTCTGTTAATCAGTGTTTCTCTACTATTATCATAACTATAAGTAGCATCATTATAAGGTTTTCGACCATTACGTTCAGACACTAATTTATTTCTCGATACATTATTTAATTGATTTTGGGGAAAAAATCCAGTTTCATGTAATGCCGAGGAGGGCGTGACTTGAATTCCTTTACAACGTGTCTCAGGAACAACTGTGCTTCCAACATGGCGCACATTACTCCGACTATCATCACGACTATTTCTAATTCTTCTAGCGCTTGTTTTAGATTTCGTTTGAGCTGTGAATAAAGTTAATTTTAAATTATTTTAACACTTCTCAAAATAGTTCATCACGGGTTATTATTAATCAGTGTATACCTGGATTTATAGGCATTTTTGGTAATGGTTGTCTTTGCGCAAAATGGTCTTGAATATTGCTTGTTTGATTATAAGTTGACGCCGAATGCAATTGCGATGATATTTCTTCTTCGTTTACTTTTCCATTTTTCTCTTCAAAGTATTTATCTTTGCTGTTTGCTTGTGGGTTTCCCTGAACAAATTCGTCGTCCAAATTATTTTCTTCTAGTCTTTTATATTGCTCACTTTGTTCTAGATCGATTTCACTACCAACTATATTTATATCTTCGTTTATTTCAAATAATTTACAAACATGTGGGTGGGACGGGATCCAATCATTAGGACTACAAATTTTAACAGAACAACTTTGATCTCTGCCGTGACATGCTGGATGAGTCGGCTGGATATAACTCGACTCATGTACATTAAAAGAAGGCAACGCACAGGGTCTTGAAATCGGTAAATGTAAACTATCAAGACATGGTCTGTGCACTGGAATATATATAGGTACTCTCTTTAAACATTTTGATTTTTTACAACGAGGAGACATGAGAATGTGTAAAAGTTAAATAGACAATAATTTTATATTACATAATTTGCTTTAAAAATACATTTTATTCTGAAAAATATAGATAGATAAATGGCCCATTTTGAACACTATAACTTATTACAGATATTACTCAAATTTACTTTCATATTACATTTTTGCTGTGTAAAGATTTAACGATATGACAGTTAACATAATTTTTAATATTTTTTTGGTGAACTTTCGCTGTCTAGCATCTATCAGTATAAATAAAAAACATATACAAAGAAAGAGTTTTAAACACTTTGGAGTTTGGTATTCTTCAAATCTATTTTGAAAATATACGGAATGCACCGATAAATTCTGATATTTTTTATAATTTATCAAGCGAAGAAATCAGGTAAGTAGTGTTCTTGTAACATTTTGTTTTCTATCGCTTTATTTTGAAGGTTTCACGATTATTTATTGCAAAATTCCTAAATAAGTAACTTTTTCAATATCGAATTAAATAAAGTTTAATAAAATATAGCATTACATGTTATCCTTTAAAATATAATTTAAAATTATTTTAAAGCGAATTTAAAGTGAGTTGCATTCGAAAAAAAAAATCCTATAGTAGCAACTCAGTTGTCAGTTTCCACGTGATTATGTAACTTCCGACATGGCGCTGCTGTAGACTGCCGCGTTTCCTTTAACACTGTGCGTCAAGCGCGGTGCGGTGTGTTGAACGGTTACCATCGGATATTAGACATGTAAGTAAATAATTTAACATTAATACTACATTGTTCTTATCAAACTCTAATGTATTTTTATTACTTATTCGCTTAAAATACTGGTACATACATTTTTAATAAAAATATCAATAATTTTACCTTACGTAACGATTAATGAAATTATATTTGCACGTGACCTTGCCCCTATATCCTTAAATAAGTCATGTTTTATCTAAATACTCGATATTAAGTCTTAATTATGTCGTATAGGTGTCAATAAACTCTCGAGGGCTAAAAAAAATGACAAAACCATCGTCGCCCATACAGAATAAGTATTGATTGGAGCAAACCAGTTACAATTTAGCTCTTTGAAAACTGCTCTATATTTTGCTTATCAAGATAATTTGAATTAAGTGGTGACACTTCTTGAGTAAAACTATTTACTTTAAAACATTCGTTACCTAACATCAGCTGTGTTGATCGCCACTGTCAATGACGATTTCTAACCTGCGTTAGGTTTTGTGAGTAAGATATTTATGTTAACATTTTGTTATTTTTAATTAAGTAATACGTAATATATTAATGGAATGAGTTTAATTTAATAATTTCATAAATTTAATTTAATATTGTACATATACTTATTATAATATGTATACTTAGCATTAACTTGGTATATTTAAGACTTCCATAACTTAATGTTACCAATTAAATTAGGTTAAATTAAATGTCAGATCTAAATGTCCAAGATTAATTAAATAAAGAAAAAAAATTTAATTACAATAAATTTTCCATGATATGAACGAATGAATTAGTTAACGAATGAATTATAACAGAATGAATTCATGTATATATATATTTGACTTATATTTTTTTATATAGCCATGTACTAATATTATATATGTGAAAGTTTGTGAGGATGGATGTATGGATGTTTGTTACTCTTTCACACCAGAACAACTGAATGATGAACATACCTAGATGAAATTTGGCATAGAGATAGAAGTCTGGAATTGGTATGGTTCCTGTGAGATAGATTTGTCTTTGTCTAGAAACAATCCTAAAACTTTATATTTTATAATTAACTTTTAACTAAAAATGATTAACATCTGCATTGCAGATTGTTATATAACACTTTTCTGTAATTATAATTGATTGTAAATTACATTATAGTTATATTATCAAGCAGTATTAGGTCAGATGTTGTAGGTTAATTTCCATCACAGAAAATTTTATGTCCTTACCAAATAGTTATGTTTTTAAAAAAAAGATAAAAGTTTCAGACTTATTGAGTTAAGGAATTTATAAGTAGGAGTCACAATGAACTTAGTTTGACTGCTAAGAAGTACCCGGAAAATTGAAAAACAAATAAGTCCAACTTAATGACTCCATCATCATCAAAAATATAATATTGTTACTCGCAATATTATAATATCTATGTTTTAAAAAACTGTATTGAAATTAATATTATTATGTACTTTACTTTTAATTAGGTAATTTTCTGTCAATTTTACACTTTTTTTTAACAATTTTACAATTTTACACTTTAAATTTTCATTTACTTTAGCAACAAGTGTTATGAATTTTTGCATTATTGATTGTTCCTAGAATTTTATTACTTGAATTAATCAATATCAAAAATAAATAATATTAAAAATGAGCACTTATTCAATTCAGGTGTAGTTTTCGATAACTCAACTTTAACATGTATGTATGGAATACTTATTAGATATTTTATAGTTTTTAATTCAGATGGCATTATAAACCATTTCTTTGCACACACTACTAAAATAAATGCGAAAATGACTGCATGTTTGTTAGCCTGTTTACGCTAAAATGGCTGTACAAATTTGAGTTGAAAAATGTTATGATTTTGTAACACAGAATGATGGGCACCGCGAAAGACAACCAAGTGAAGTGTAAAACTTAATTTGTTGCAGTAAAATGTTCTCATCCTTGTTGGAGACGGCGCGGAACTCGCCATTCCGCACCCCCCTATCCACGGCGAGCTGCGAGCCCGCCATCACAGACACACAGGTATATATTCATGTTGAATGAGTAATTGTCTTTGTAGGTAATAGCGGGTTCGATATTGCTTAGAGAATTTTTTGGACAATAATACATTTTTGGATTGGGTGTGATTTTTATAAAACAATTAATTAAGTTTGTTAATAAATTAGAATTAATTTATTTTCATCTTAATCAATTAACAAAAATACTTTAAGGCATAATATGTGACAAAATATCATAATATCTTGTGTATTTGAATAGAACTCAAAAGTTTTAAGTTATATCGAACCTGCTACCTCCGTCCGTTATTTTATTTAGTTTTTATTGCAATATATTTAGCCCAATGATGAGAACTAATGCTAGAGGGATGTGTCGCGAGTCGGGCGTGGCTCGACGGCCACTCTGCATAATGTCTATGCAGCGTGCCGGCTCGCGATGCGGTGGCCCGATGACCAAAAGATTATGAGATCTGAGGGCTTCTTTATAATATTTAACTAGATTTCGCTCGCGGCTTCTCGCATGGTACGTGGGTATAAGGTAGCCTATAAGTGTCCATATTATTTTGTATGTATTTGCCAATTTTCTTAGAAAATACTGTGGTTTGAGCAGTAAAGGGTAACAGACAGACAGAAAGACCGACTTACTTCCACAAAATAAGGTAATTCTGCAGGGATTTGCTTAATTGGGGTTTTTTATATAAAATTTTTAAAATTGATAAAATTTTAGGACATGCAAAATGCAAAATTCTATTTTTAACTGATAGTACAGAGATTAGTTCGAACAAACAAAAAAACAAACATATAAGCATTATTTTAGTAGTAAAATCTACTAAAAATGTGATGCTATAATTACGTGTACTTATCAGGTTGTTAGTGTTACATGGCCTAAATTGATAATATCTATACAGATAAATAAAATTGAAGTGTCTGTTTGTAATGTCAAAATAACAGTTTTTTATTAAATGCATTTAAAATTGTATATGGTGCTTATAAAAAAACACAACTTTTAAAATTTTTGTCTGTCTGTTTCTTCCGGGTAATCCTCGAAACGGCTGGACTGATCTTGATGTGATTTTCACTGACAGATAGCTGATGTTATAAGGGGTAACTTAAGCTACTTTTATTTTAGAAAAAGAATTAGGGTTCCGCTCAAAAAAAACTTACCTTGGGACGCACCCGAGCGAAGCGAGAGTAATTCGCCTAGTACATATATACATATAATGAAATTCTAACTGAGTCGAATCTGTACATTACATATTTTTTGGAAAATCTTATTGAAATAGACATTATTATCGATACAGAGTCCGAATCTATAGTTTTTAGAATTTTTGTCTGTCTGTCTGTTACCGCATCACGGAAAAACCACTAGAGGGATTTTGATGAAATTTGGTATGATGATAGCTGGTTATCCGGGTCAACATCTAAGATACTTTTTACCGCGGGAAAATATTTCATTTCTGAGAAAAAATACAAAAACTGCAATGTAAGAGTGTAATATGTAAAATCTAAGAATTTGGTTTTTGGTAATCTGAACGCGGGCGGAGCCGCGGGCAATGCTAGTATTTTATATAATTGCGACTACATGTCATTGTTCGTCTAGCTATTAAAGACTGCCTGACATAGTTATTTTGCATAATATATACATTTTAATTTTATGTTTGTAAATGCAATACCTATACAATACTAAAGTGAACGTGTATTGAGCCCAAGAAGGATTTATTCACATTTTTGATTTTACAGAAGAAATCTGTGCGTTACAAAATTTATGTTTTACGTTGTTTTTCAAATAACTATATTTTAGAAATAAGCATTATAGTACAAGATTGGCAAGAACATACATCATTGGGACACGTCACACTTTCCATGCGAGCGGAGTCGCGAATAATAATTAGTATTTAATTTGATTTAAATGCTACTATTTACCTTATTATTTCTTTTGTAATATTAAAAAGTTATATTAAAACGGTGTCAGGGCATGGCCGCGTCTACACCAGTAAATGGCGACTCCTGCGAGTTCGGCTCGTCTAAATACTTCGCGCTCTGCGGATTGGGAGGCATCCTCTCTTGCGGTAAGTGACTGAATCGATTGCAAAAAAGTTGTATTATTATGTTTATACATAAATATATATATGTTTGATGATACGTCTGGCTCATTTTGTAGTGACCCTACTTGCTGTGCCATCGGTCGCGGGTTCGAGTCCCGCTGGGGGCATTCATTTGTGTGATGAGCACGAATGTTTGTACTCCAGTCATGGATGTTTATATTTATAGTATGTATGTATTTAAAGTTATATATGTGTAGTGTATCAACTATCCGGTATCCATAACACAAGCCTCGTAGCTTACCCTTACCTTTGTTATAATTATTATTTATTTTAATCTTTTACTAGCGACTTACCCTCGCTTCGCTCGGGTTCGTCCATAGCTTGCTTCCCAATACAAACTTTCATCCCCATTTTCAACCCCTTAAGAAATGATTTCCGCGATAAAAAGTATCCAATGTCCTTCCCAGGGTCTCAAACTATCTTCTTACCAAATTTCATCTAAATCAGTTCAGTAGATCCAGAGATTACCCCCTACAACGTTACAAACTCACAAACTTTATCTCGTTTATAATATTAGTATAGATTTATTAAACGCGTTTGTATTGTAAATACTGACGTTAACTAAGCTTATATTATCCTAATAATCGATTAATCCATCATTCATCAAGATACACTTATCCACTACTCGATATCGAAATTATTTCATTTCTTATTATATAATAATTTATGTTTTAAACTCTTGACTTAAGAATTACATATATTGACGGAATCCGCCAAATAGACCAGGGTCGATAAAAAAAATAATAGTAGGATGAAACCCATTGGAAAAGGAAGAGAATATAACAAAAATTAAAGGAAAAATAATTTACGGGCGATCTGAGGTCGGGAAGTGGGAGGGGGTGAGTTTTTAAGGGTAAAAAATTTGTGGTGTACAATAAAGCATCTATCTATCTATCTATCTAAAAAACAGTGTATGTCGATTTCCGGCAAAACTACAAGTCCTATGGAAAAATGTGAAATGGCAAAGTTATAGGCAATAAAAATATCTACAACTTTTTGTATAGTTTACACTTTTTTCACATAATCTCAAAATTTATGTGAAAAATTCAAATAACCAAGTTTTAGGTTTTTTACCAAAAAATTCTTTTAACGAATATGGGTCAAACCTTACCATTTTATGTCCCAAACATACTGTAATATATTTGATTTACAGTATTTATTTTTTCACCTTATTTTGATTTAATATCGAAAAAGCACCACCCTCATGTTCAATCGAAAATTCTCGCGTCAAAGTATCTGCTTTTTAAAAAAGTCGATGAGCTTTTTGTTCGTTGAAATCTCTACTTTCTGATGGTGTAAAAAAATATCATTACTAAGTACAGGCCTGTCCCTCCTAGCCCCTTCCCCACTTCTCGTTACTAGGTAAGTACGTTTTAACGTTTAGTATAAATTTCTCAGATATGAAATATTTTCCCGCAATAAAAAGTATCCCATATTTATTGTATGAAATATCATCGTGGATTCAGCTTTCGTATTTATATAAACTTATAGAATAGACCTATTTTCGAAGAATCGAATTATATGTAAACTGCATTCTGTTTGCGACTTCGCGAGCGGTCTGAGGCTAACTGTCATAAGAAAATCGATAGCCTCGCCTAGGGTTTGCCGCTAGATACAAAGGTCAAGGTAGAATGTTAGGTCTAATCAATCGTTTAGTCAAAATTGAAGAGATTTTAATAAATCAATAATAAAAATGAATTGTTGGTAGTTTAAAATAATAATTATTAACGTCCCACTGCTGGGCAAAGCAGCAGTAGCCCAGTGGTAACGCGCACGCTTGGGAAACCAGTGTAGCGGGTTCAAATGCGGGTCTCGCAGATTTGATATTTTCATGTGCGAATCATTTCCAACATGATTACCACTTATTTCACGGTGAAGGAAAGCGTATGGAAACCTGCATGTCTGAGAGAACCTAGCAAGTTTTTGAAAGACATATGGAGTCCATCCCATACTTTACGATTCGTCCAAACGAAACATTTTTTTACTACAATGTTTGGCTCTGGCTAATGACCCTGCTGGCTGTACCAGCGGTCGCGGGTTCGAGTCCCGCTAGAGACATTCATTTCTGTGATGAGTACGAATGTTTGTACACCAATCATGGGTGTTTATATTTATAATATGTATGTATTTAGAGTTATATATATATTATGTAGTGTATCAACTATTTGGTATCCATAACACAGGCCTTCGTACCTTACCATGGAACTAGATGGTGCTGTGTGTTAATGTCCCAATAAAAAATAAATAAACACATGAGCCCAAAGTTGAATTTATTAGTAGTCAATAGCTATTATGTAGATCCCTTGTCCACTTGACAATAGCCTACATATTTTATTTTGTTTTAATTCTTAGCTTCCACATGCTAAGTTTTAAATCGATACGATCATTAGAAATAAGTTAAAATCGATCAATCGACTTTTATGTTGAAACTAGCATTGCCTGCGGCTCCGCCGACGTTCAGATGACCAAAAACCAAAATTGCTGTTTTTGTATTTTTTCTCAAAAATGAGATATTTTCCCGTGGTAAAAATATATATAATATCCTATATGTTGACCCGGATAACCAGCTACCATCATACCAAATTTCATCAAAATCCCTCTAGTGGTTTTTCTGTGATGCGGTAACAGACAGACAGACAAAAAGACAAAAATTCTAAAAACTATAGATTCGGTCTCTGTATAGATAATAATGTCTATTGCAATAAGATTTTCCAAAAAATATTTAATGTACAGATTCGGCTTAGTTACAATTTTATTATATGTATAGATTAAGTTAAAGGAATAATAGCGTAAGTTCCACATTGTACGTACTCCGCTATGAACATAGGAGCTATATGCATATAGGCACAAAGCCACTAAACGTAGCTTAAAGGTATTAATAAAGGTTTCTTTTAGAACTAACTTTCCTTTACATAACGTTTTCAATCACGACAAGGTCAGATTATTTTATCTTATCTAGTATTTTGGGTTTTGTACGACATTTTTTTATCATTGTTATATAAATCACAAGGAACACTAGGTTTAACACGCGGCTTCATTTGCATTTTAACGGTGTTCAAACTACAGACAACTGCCTATCGGGCTTTTATTATATATGAGAAAGTTTGTATGTTTGTTACTCCTATACTCAGAGACGGCTGGACGGATTTTGATGAATTTTAGTACACTGATAGGTTGTATGAGCTGGAGTGACACATAGGCTACCGTTAGGCGCCAGGGCGTGTTGCGGGCAAAGCAAGTCCCTAGTAGTATATTATAAACAAAAATATATTTAAAATTTATTTTTTACTAGCATTGCCCGCGGCTCCGCCCGCGTTCAGATGACCATAAACCAAATTCTTAGGTTTTACATATTAGTACTCTTACATTGCAGTTTTTGTATTTTTTCACATTTTCTCGCAGTAAAAAGTCCTATATGTTGACCCGGATAACCAGCTATCACCATACAAAATTTCATCAAAATCCCTCCATTGGTTTTTTTTGATGCGGTAACAGACAGGCAGACAGACAGACAGACAAAAATTCTAAAAACTGTAGTCTCTGTATCGATAATAATGTTTATTTCAATAAGATTTTCCAAAAAATATTTAATGTACAGATTCGGCTTAGTTACAATTTTATTATATGTATGGATTTAATAAGTTCATTTGAACTTGGACATTTTAAATCTAGATGAAGGTTGCGTGACGTGTGATACATGACAGGCTTGGCCCAAAGCCATACACTACATTGTTTTCACTTTGAATATGTTTAGGTGTTACGTAAGTACATAAATACATATACGTTATACATACAAACATACATATGTATGTACTAATTGTGTTTGAAATATATTTAGATACACGTGATTTTGTTTATTTAATTAAAGAGACTAATATAATATAGTTCCTTTGTTACCGACTCATGTTTTTTTTTATAATCGTTTGCTATTATTATTATATTCATTGGCGAGTGGTAAACAAAAAATATATTTTATTCTGCCCTTTCTAGCGATCCACTGCTGAGCATGGACCTGCCTAACAACTGCCTGAAACAAGCCATACTAGACGACATGTTTGGCTTAGTTTGTAGTGACCCTACTTGCCGTGCCAGCGGTCGCGGGTTCGAGTCCCACTGGGGGCATTCATTTGTGTGATGAGCACGAATGTTTGTACTCCAGTCATGGGTGTTTATAATATGTATTTAAAGTTATATATGTGTAGTGTATCAATTATCTGGTATCCATAACACAGGCCTCGTAGCTTACCATGGAACTAGATGGCGCTGTGTGTTAATGTACCAAAAAAAATAATTATACCAAGTAGATCCAAGGCGGATTGACGAACTTAACATATTGTCTTTCGAAAACTTGCTAAGTTCTCTCAGACATGCAGGTTTCCTCACGTTTTCCTTCACCGTAAGACAAGCGATAATCATGTTGATGATGATGATGATTCGCACGTGAAAATGTCAGGTGCGACATCCGTTTGAACCATACAAAAATACATAGCCAGTGTAAGCGTTTAATACACGCAGGAATCGAAGTGGTGTATCAAAGTTAGTTATTTGCAAAAATTATGTAACCTATTAAACTAACTGTAAACTTGCCAAGATTTATTATATTCTGTAGCTGAAAGATGTTGTCGAAATTCTTACTAAAATAGATATGTATTATTTTTTATAATTTAAGTGACCTCCGTAAATGTTGACATTACTCGAAAAATATTAATAAAATATAATATATAAAATTAATAAAAATAAAAAAAGGGTTGATTCCCCATACAAACTTTCATCCCCATCTTCACCCCCTTAAGGGATTATTTCCGGGATAAAAAGTATCCTATGTCATTTCCAGGATCTCAAACTATCTCCTTACCAAATTTCATCTAAATCGGTTCAGTAGATCCAGAGATTACCCCCTTTTTTTTTTATGTCGGGAAATGCATTTACGCATACCACCTGATCCCCCAGGTGGTGATGTGGGGCTCACCGGCTAGAAGAGCCGGTACTACCCACTAAAACCCGACATTCCCCTCCCCTCCGCCTTAATGGGACGCCGCAGGATCGCTTGCGCATAACTACTACGGCGCCCCGGCGGCAGGTCTGCCTAAATAGGCAGACCACCAAACCAATGGGGCTGCTCCACAGTCAACTCTGCTACGCCAGAGAGGTACCCGGAGCAGCCCCATTAAACCTAACCACCGCCCACCGAAGTGGGCCACCTCCAATCGGCTGCAGAGGACAGGGAGAGCGGCAACGAAACACCGACACTCCTCTTCCCCTGCAGCCCCACCGCGTCCGCCATCAAACGGTGGCGGCCCCGTCTAGGCCGCGGAAGGTAGGGAGAACGGCGCACCGAAATACCGGCACTCCTCTCCCGCCGCGGCCTACTCCTCCGCCGGATGCGGGCCTGCGACCACAGTCCCGCAACCGGCACCCATCATCCGGTTGTGGGCCCAAGCGGTCCCACCACCGGTGGCCGCAACGTCTTCGGCTCGAGTCCTAGACGAGCGGCCCCAACCAAGCCATTTGGTCCGCGCCGGATTTCTCCGGTACCACCCGCCGCCCTAAGCGGGTGGCATTCCCCTATCCGCCACCTGGGGACGCGCCCGGTAGGAGTTGGCTTCTCCCCCGGGACCCCCTACAACGTCACAAACTCACAAACTTTACCTCTTTATAATATTAATATAGATTTTATAATTTAGTGGACCCGATTTCCTTCGCGTTTTGTCCATTCTACGTGACATTGGCGTAATCTGTGCTCGACTGACATTTTTGTAGGCATTGAATTGAACTTATTGTTAGTGGACAATCAGGTATTGCTTTTCTTCTTTACATATAATAAAATTGCAACTAAGCCGAATCTGTACATTAAATATTTTTTGGAAAATCTTTTTGAAATAAACGTTATTATCGATACAGAGGCCGAATCTATAGTTTTTAGAATTTTTGTCTGTCTGTCTGTCTGTTTGTTATCGCATCACAGAAAAAACACTGCAGGGATTTTGATGAAATTTGGTATGATGATAGCTGGTTATATCTATTCAGTGATATAAGCGTTAAAGGCTAACAAGCAAACCGAGAGAGAAAGAGCTATTTCTTGAAGTGGGTTCAAATCCTGGGTCTCACACCTCAATATTCTCATCTACAAATCATTTCTAACATGATTACCACTTAAAAACATTGCGACGAAAATTGCATGGTTGAGAAAAATTAGCAAGTTTTCGAAAGACCAGATCAGCGTGGCCTATGGCTTATCTCCATCGTATCCAAAGACCTGTGCTCAGCAGTGGAACCTAGAAAAAAAGGTTGAATTATATTAGTATGAGAATACGTGTTTTTGAATTTATGATGTTAACGGTACATGAATGTAAAGCAACGCCTAGCCTAGCGACAAAAGGATGGGTGACCTTTTAGTGGAATAAAATATTAGCATTAATTAGAGATACCCTATAGTGGACGATGTTCATAAACCAATCGATAGATTAAAAATGACTAAGAACTATTTTAAATCTCGGTCAAGGTGTTGCCATGTAAAGCTAAGAAACCTGATAAAGTTAATCTAGTTTTATTTTTTTTATTATTGTCTCTTGAATGTGTCTGTGTAATGTTAAAAATAACAAGGTGCAAAATCATTTGTTATTAAAATTAAACTTCCATACTAATATTATAAATGTGTTTATATTTTAAAAGTGTGTTTGTTTGTGCTTCTTTCACGTCGAAACAGAGTGACGGATTGGCGTGATTTTTTGTGTGAAGATAGTTGGAGGGCTGGAGAGTGACATAGGCTTTTTACCGCGGGAGATCGTCTCATTTTCCACGGAAAAACACGTTAAAATGCAAACCACAAAAACTCATCAGATAGATGTATATATACAATATAATATAGTCTATCTATTCCATACTAGTATATATATAAAAAAATCTATTCATTGGTAAGCGTATAACTGGAGAACAGGACCGATTATTTTATTAAAAAACGTTTACAACAATTCCCATAGCTCTTACAAAACATCATTTGAATAACGTATATACATATACGGTTTTTAGAAAAAAAAATATTAAAAGGTTTCCGGGAAATTCGAAGATTCTAAAATCACTGAAAGGTCTCGTTAATTCGTTTTTTTTTATTTGCATATGAAAATAAAATGTAATTTTTTAACAGGAATTAAATAAATATGTTAGGACATTAACACACAGCACACATAAATTACTTTAAATACATACATATTATAAACTAGGGACTCACCCTCGCTTCGCTCGGGTTCGTCAATGACTTGATTCCCCATACAAACTTTCATCCCCATTTTTGTCCCCATTAGGGATGATTTCCGGAATAAAAAGTATCCGATGTCCTTCCTAGGGCTTCAAACTATCTTCTTGCCAAATTTCATCTAAATCGGTTCAGTAGATCCACAGATTACCCCCTACAACGTCACAAACTCACAAACTTTACCTCTTTGTAATATTAGTATAGATAATATCTAAATACCTTTCAAATTCATATCATTTCATTCCCTTAGGTATCACACACACGGCCGTCGTGCCCCTCGATTTGGTGAAGTGTCGTCTACAAGTGGACGCGGAGAAGTACAAGAATGTGGTGAACGGGTTCAAGGTGTCCGTGCGGGAAGAGGGCATGAGGGGTCTCGCCAAGGGCTGGGCCCCCACCTTCATTGGATACTCCCTACAGGTTAATTATATTAATATTATATGCGAAGGTTTGTTTGTATGTATGTGTGTTTGTGTGTTTCTCTTTTATTGTAATATAAATTTGAAGTAAGGCTATTGTCCAAATTTGTAATAATTTGCCAAAAGATGGCGCTGCTTGAGCAAAACGAAAGTAAGTTTAATCAACATATTTAGAAATTATTAAGAGAAACAAAAAATTAACACATGTGTACGAATAGTTGTGTACCATTTGAAAATAGCTCTTTGACTGTTAAAAGAAAATAAAAATAATTAAACTCATATAAAGTGTTTTGAAGTTTGAAGTGTTTCGCGGGTTCGAGTCCCGTTGGGGACATTCATTTGTGTTAACGTCCTAACATATTTATTTCATTCATGATTCAGTTCATTGTAAAAATAGTTTTATATTTTTTTTACTCAGAGTTTATTATTAATTTAAATTTAAACTGAATGATTAAAATCAATATCCAATTGTTCCATCCGAACTCTTTTGAAGACGCCTTAATTATGAATTAACCAAAACAATATAGATTAAAAAATAAAATTACATTTATATTTAATTATTATTTATATATATATACAGGGTCTGTGCAAGTTCGGTCTGTATGAAGTGTTCAAAGTGGGCTACTCGGGCATGTTGGATGAGGAAACAGCGTACAGCTACCGTACGTTCGTGTATCTGGCAGCTTCTGCGTCAGCTGAGTTCTTTGCTGACATTGCTTTGTCCCCTCTTGAAGCTGCTAAGGTTTGTAAAATAAAAAAAATATATATATTATTTAAAAAAATTGTGATTATTCAATGTATGAGACAGTTGTTTAATAGATATGACTCTTTTGATAAGTAAAGAGTATTTATTATATTATGTCACAGGAATATTTTATGATTCGCCGTTTTACAAACTGTCTTTGTCTGTTTGGCAAAAGTTAGATGTTATGTAAAATGGCAAAGGCAAATTGTAAAATGTAAGATTGTATAATAAATGTTAGAGGTTATTCACATATAATAAAATCGAGATTTTATAAAATAAGTGATTTTATATATTTTTTTATTTATGATAAATCATGGTTACATATTTGGGCAAAATGAATTAATTCAGAAGCATTTTGCAATTTGCCTTCGACATTTTACAAAGAACCAAGCATTTCCAAACACACATCACCTTTTGCATAATAATATATACAATATGTCTACAATATACATACAGTATAATATTATATAATAATAAATACTTTTTACTTTGTAAAGGAGACAATGTTATATTAAATGATTGCTTCATATTTAAATTATTACAATTTTTTTTTATATTAATATGTTTCATATTAATAAAATATATAAGGCACCCTATGATGAAAAAACGCGCTTGGAAGGGGAAGTAGGGTGTGATGTGTCTGTGACGTCACACGTCACTCTGTGAAGCATTTTGAGCTTTATTACTTGGTAGTAAAGTTTAAAATGGTTTATACAGCGTGTCCGTTACACTCTATGCTAACCTAATGATTTGTGATTATGAGATTTGAGGGTATGCCTAAATAGAATTTAAAAAATGTTATTATTATCAAAAAACCTTCTTTTTTTTAATATCTTTGTGGATTTTTTTTGCGGATTTTCAGACGTGTAGGTAGATACTGTCTGTGATAATATAATAATTGTGTAATTATATAATAACTTTTGAAATTTCTAAAACCTTATTCTCTGCTGTGACAATGATTGCTGTAATGCATTCGAAACGTCTGGAACCAAGACCCAAAATAAATCCGCAAAACATCCGTAAAAGTCTTTATGAGAACAATATAAAAAATCATTAATTCCATTAATTAATGAAGAACATTAAAATTAATCGTTAATTCCATTAATTAACGAATTAACAGGTAAGAATCCAGACGATGCCCGGGTTCGCGAACACGCTGCGCGAGGCGTGGCCCAAGATGGTGCAGAACGAGGGCTATGGTACCTTCTACAAGGGGCTGGTGCCGTTATGGGGCCGCCAGATACCATACACCATGATGAAGTTTGCCTGCTTCGAAAAGACACTGGAGTTGCTGTATAAGGTCAGTTCCTAATTAAAAATTATTCATTAATCCTTAATTTAAAGTTATTCATTTTTTTTAATTAATAGTTTTTTTTAGAATTATGATTAGATGTTTAACCTGTATGTGTGTTGTGCGCTCGCTGTGGAAACCGAGTGAAGCGGGTTCAAATCCCGGGTCTCGCACCTCTGATATTTTCGAGTGCGAATCATTTCTAACATGATTATCACAAATATATAAATGCAATGTGTGTCGCAGTACGTGGTGCCGAAGCCCCGCGAGCAGTGCAGCAAGGGCGAGCAGCTGGTGGTGACGTTCGCGGCGGGCTACATCGCCGGCGTGTTCTGCGCCATCGTCTCGCATCCCGCCGACACCGTCGTCTCTAAGCTCAACCAGGTACGCGCGGATTTTATAAATTATCATTTTAATAATACTTTCTTAGATTTAAGCGAATATTTGAAATTTGACATTTTAAATAAAACTTTTCGAATTATTTCGCGGATTTATTTAGATTTTTGTGAAATGATATTTGTAAAATAGTGGTTGGGCACTGTCTGTAACAAGTATATAACGCCTTTGAGTGGTCTACAACCTTAGTCTCTCCCGTGACCATGATCGCTGGTAAAGCATTCTAAAGGTCGGAAACAAAAATCAAAATAAATCCGCGGAATAATCACAAGAAATCCGCGGAGAAAAGATAGTTTTATATAAAATGACCAATATTCGCGTAAATCTAAGAAAGTATTAATCTATACATATAATAAAATTCTGAATTTTAAAAATATATTAAATTATTTTAATAATTAAATATTACAAAAAAAAACCACCCAAGTGCGAGTCGGACTCGCGCACGAAGGGTTCCGTACCATTATCTATAAAAACGATAAAAAAATTATGTCTGTTGTATGGGAGCCCCCCTTAAACATTTGTTTTATTTTAATTTAATTATTTATTTTTATATATAAATAAATATTCTATGATTACTTCAAGCGTCTACCTGTTGCCGTTATCAATATCGTTAGCAAAATAAATCGCGTTTGGTGTATGGGAGCCCCCGTAAATATTTATTTCTATTTATTAGTATTTGTCGTTATAGCGGCAACAAAATACATAATCTGTGAAAATTTCAACTGTCTTAACTATCATGGTTCACGAGATACAGCATGGTGACAGACAGTGTCTTGTAAGGAAAATATCGTCAGAAAACCTGCATGTCTGAGAGAACTTCCGCTATAGAACATTAAAAAGGGCTGAGTATATAATAAAATATTAACTATCTAATATTAAAAAAAATATTGCAGGACAAGACAGCCACAGTGGGCTCCATCATGGGCAAGCTCGGCTGGGCCGGAGTATGGAAGGGACTGGGACCCAGGATTGTGATGATTGGTACCCTCACTGCCTTGCAATGGTTCATCTATGACGCGGTTAAGGTACGCTATATAAGTTTTTATTAAATGATTCTATTATAAAAACACTCTCGATTAAGTCACGTATGAAACAAAAAAAAATTAAATTTAAATCGGTTCATCCGTTTAGGTGCTATGGTGCCACAGACACACAGATGCACACGTTAAACTTATAACACCCCTCTTACGTCGGGGGTTAAAAATAAGCTTTGCATGACGGTTTTTTGTAAAAGATATGAAAATTGCATTTTTTCAGAAAAGGAATATAGTCTATAGATAAACTTAGAAGCAAACCCTTGTCTAAAAATAAAATTTGATGCAAATCGTTCGAGCCGTTTGTGAGATACATAAAATAGAATATACATACATACATATATACAAGAGTTGCTCACTTAATATTATATGACAATTATATATATGTATATGTATATATATATATATATACATATATAATATATATATATAATATATATATATAATATATATATATATATATATATATATATGTACTTACTATTTCAAATAAAATATATTTTATTTAGATTATAAAATATAATAATATTAGCTTTATAAATATTATATAACTGGTTATATTCATGCATTTTTTTTAATTTATTTATAAAAAACATCTTTATCAATGATTATTAAATCAACCAATTGTTCCTACTGAATGAACTTGTAGAGAAAAATATTATGAGATATTTTCATAATATAAAAACCATATGAGAATAAAAACTTTTTTGTTATAACTTTTTTTATAAAATTCCAGGTATGGCTGAGAATGCCACGACCCCCGCCACCAGAAATGCCAGAATCCATGAAGAGGCGCCTCGAAGCCGAAGAGGCCGCGAAAAACAAGTAAAAAAAATAGACAAGAAATAATATTATAAAAAAAACATCATTATTTACCCGCGACTTCGTTTTTTTTTAATGGCAACACTGTTGAGAATGGCGGACACACCAGTGTGTCAGTTAACAATTAATTTCTTAGAAATTATCCTGGAGGATATAAGGCTGTAACAGTCTATACCTTAAGGCTGTCAGAATAAATTGAATATTAACAAAAATGTCACGTCAATTTGACATTTTTATTTGTGACTGACAGCTCATATTACGTCTTCTACTGTTAAATCCAAAGTGTCACATTATAGTCTAAGAGACAGCTGTTTAAAGTGAAGCGTGAGTTGTTTTATAAAATTTTATTAAAAAAAAGCGAAGTGGCCGGTGCGAGTGACAGCGACGGGTGTCACCTTCCAGTGAACAGTATGTTAGCGTTGAATCATGTAATTCAATTTATTTATTATATATTATGTATGCATTCGAACCAAAGTGGTTAATGTCTGGCAATAAAAGATAGATATTATAGGTTCGTTTTATTTAACCTTTTTATTTATTACTAGAGTCTAGGTACGTTTTAATTTTTTTGAGCGGAACCCTAATCCTTTTTCTAAAATAAAAGTAGCCTAAGTTACTCCTTATAACATCAGCTATCTGCCAGTGAACGTCTCGTCAAAATTGGTCCAGCCGTTTCGGAAATGAGCCGGAACAAACATAAATTTTTTTAAGTGCGTTTTATACAAAATTAGTATGTATATGAAAATTATCATAAATCTAGACGAATCCTCCGAACTGGGCCAAATCATTCCTCTAACTTTTTTATTTGTTATCCAAAACCAGTTTGTTATTTTAAAATAGCGCAAAAACGTAAGTAAATTTTGCTTTTGTTCACAATCGACAATATTTCAATGTGGATTGTAAATGAGAAGGTTAAAATGTGTTTCTCCTTCACGCTGTAACAACTGGATAGATGCGGATATATATATATATACTAGCGGACCCGACAGACGTTATCCTGTCTACACGTCTTTAATTTGAAAATTTCAAACTTTTTTTAATAATTTTTTTGATGAAAATTATTATTCAAATTGTGAATCTAAACCATTCCCAGATCCCCTTGAACACACACAAAAAATTTCATCAAAATCGGTCCAGTCGTTTGAGAGAAGTTCAGTGACATACACACTCACAGAAGAATTATATATATATACTAGCGGACCCGACAGACGTCCTGTCTACACGTCTTTAATTTGAAAATTTCAAACTTTTTTTAATTGTAATTTTTTGATGAAAATTATTATTCAAATTGTGAATCTAAACCATTCCCAGATCCCCTTGAACACACACAAAAAATTTCATCAAAATCGGTCCAGTCGTTTGAGAGAAGTTCAGTGACATACAGAAGAATTATATATATAAAAGATATATATAATATATATATATATATATAGGCTTTTTGGGCTGCACTGCGGCATGGTACAGATTCGGCTCAGAATTTTATTATTAATGTATAGATTACTAAAAATTCCAAATAAATACTGCCATCTGCTATGACGCAAAGACAACGAGTGTAACAGCGGTCTATGTGTAAGCAATGACTGAGGCACCACTGGCGACATTTTGAGAAATGTTTAATTTCTTCAAAACTAAGATGATATTGATCGCGACAAAATTAAAACAAACAAACTAACACTAACCACTGGGCACTAACTCTTATTGCACACAAAAATCTTTTTTTAACTACATTTCTTATTATATTTTATGATTTAATAAAAAGTTGTATAAAATATCTAGGGTTAAGTACATAATAAACTCATCTATCTATATAAATAAAAATGAATGTTGGTAAGAGCATAACTCAAGAATGGCTGGACCAATTCGGCTAATTTTTTTTTCGTATGTTTCTTAAGATCCACGGAAGGCTTTAATAATGAGAAATTATGAAAAATTAACGAAAATAAAAATTAAAATTTACATGGCTAACGCTGGCTTATATCTATTTAAAACGTACCTATTATATATATTAATATTTATAAGTTTGTTTGCTATCCGCTGGGTACGTAAGGCATAGTGGGGGTCACAAGACTGGTGTCAGCGCTCACTGCAGACAATACAGAACTAAGGGTGGCTCTTTATTACTTAACAAGCATTGCCAGCGGCTCCGCCCGCATTCAAATGACCGAAAACAAATTCTTAGGTTTAACATATTAAAATACTCTTACATTGCAGTTTTTGTATTTTTTCTCAGAAATGAGACATTTTCCCGCGGTAAAAAGTATCCTATATGTTGACCCGGATAACCAGCTATCACCATACCAAATTTCATCAAAACCCATCCAGTGGCTTTTTCTGTGATGCGGTAACAGACAGACAAAAATTCTAAAAACTATAGATTCGGCCTCTGTATCGATAATAATATTTATTTCAATAAGATTTTCAAAGAAATATCTAATGTACAGATTCGGCATAGTATTTTATTATATGTATAGATTTTTACCCTTTATTAAACTTTGTGGTTGAAAAATAATGTTAATTCTTAACACGAATTGCATTTTTTTTTCTGTAAAAATAATTAAAGAAAACAAAAAATTTAAATACATTCGTAAATATACTATAATTATGTTAAATAGTTATTTTTTATTTCAGATGGTTATATATTTAATACTAGCATGCCCGCGGCTCCGCCCGCGTTCAGATGACCAAAAACCACATTCTTAGGTTTTACATATTAGTATACTCTTACAATGCAGTTTTTGTGTTTGTGTATTTTTTCTCAGAAATGAGATATTTTCCCGCGGTAAAAAATATCCTATATGTTGACCCGGGTAACCAGCTATCATCATACCAAATTTCATCAAAATCTGAACAGTGGTTTTCTCGTGATGCGGTAACAGACAGAAAGACAAAAATTCTAAAAACTATAGATTCGACCTCTGCATCAATAATAATGTTTATTTTAATAAGATTTTCCAAAAAAATATTTAATGTACAGATTCGGCTTAGTTACAATTTTATTATATGTATAGATGGTTATATATTTAATATTAATACTGCTTTTTCATTAAATATTAATTTAACAATAAACATCTTGACAGATTTTAACCCTAATTCACTTGAGACTTGTGTTAGTTATTGTGTTTTTTATACTTACTTTCAGCTGACCCAGGGATTTTTTTAACGTACACTCTGTGTAATATAACATATTTTACATGGTAAAAATATATTTTTGAAGTTTATTCAATTTTTTATATAGTTAATTGGCATTTAATACATATGGACTGAGATCCCACTGCAAGATTGCTACGTTCATGGCGTATTTAATCGAAATCATTTTTTTACATACAATAATAAAAGGGACAATATGTTTTGACCGGGGTGCCTATTGAAATGTGCCCGCTAGTATGTTTAATTAACTAAATAATAGTTGACTTTTTGGAATAAAAACGATGCATTTGTTATTACAATGAATTATACTTCACAGAACTATCAGAATTACTTGAAACTTGTTATTAATGCTTTTCAATACAATTAAATGAATACGTGTTTTAGCATTTTTTGAAATCCATACCATAAGAGTGTAAAATAGGGGATAAAAGTTTGTATGAAAGCCGCAGGTTCTGCTAGTATAAATATATATTATATTGGTTTGAAGTATACACTGGTGTTTTTTATTACATAACTAAAAAATAAAACCATTAATTATTTCAAAGTTTTATTTTATTTATATAAATAATTACATTAAATAATCACACTTAACATTAATCAATACACAATATAAAAGAACGCACTTTCCCATACAATTTTTTTTTTACCACATAAGCCTTACAAAAACGTTCGTCATTTAGGCGACCCTGCAAGCGCTTGAGCTATATACAGGGTCAGTTTATACTTCAATTCCGAGAACACAGTAAGTCAAGTTAGAGTTGGGTTATTAACATATACTATAGTTTGGTTCACATATTTGTCACAGACAGTGCTTCAGAATATAGTTTACGAGAAATCGAACTAAAAACCAAACACTTGAATAAAAACGCAAAGAAAGATCAATAAATTAATGATAAAAAAAGAATAAAGAAAAAAATGATAAATTCTGTTGCATTTATTTTAAATACAAATTAACATGCGGTTAAAGCTGCCACAAAAAAAACGACATCTGTGGGCACCTTATTACGAGTATAGCATAAATACGACCAATACTGTCACATCTGAACATAAAATGTAAATAAATTAAAAATGGCAAAATAAAAATGAAGCATTGCAGTAGATGAGAATCTTTTAGAAAAATTAAAAAAAAACTGCACATGAGGCTTCCACCACCATCGCGTCAGAAGTAGAACCGCTAGATATTACGCTACACCGTCACTATTCACTTTAAATTTGCAAAAAAATATATGACTATCTGTTACAATATATGACTATCTTTTATAATATATAAAAATATACGGATATCTTTATATAGCTATCTTTACATCTACAACAAAAAATATGAATAAGCAATGAAATGTGTGAGCGTGTGTGCTGTCTTTAGATCTTTTTTTATGATTAATTAGTGAAGACAGTCACACCAAGAAGCTCTAGATGGTCTGTTATCGGCGGTATGGTTACATTACGGAAGAATAAACACGCCTGGGTCTTGCAGCATCGAACCTATACCTATATAACCTAGAAACAAAGGATACTACGGTGGATGAACAATTTCACAATTGGCACGGTCAATGAAACGAACAAAAGTGTAGTACAAAAAATATTCACATATACAAATATATAGATAGATACAAAGAAATATACTTTACATAAGCTACATATATAATGATCAGTGGATAGTAAGGACCATGGACGAATTAGAGATAATTCGTTCATGGTAAGGACTAAGGAAATAGGAGTACACAATTTCGCCACAACCGGCACAGAACGTATGAACCAATTTTTTGGATGAAGTGCACGCCCGTCGCCTGCGTTGGTGGTTGCATTACTAGAACTCAGGCAAGCGGTGACTGACGTCCATAGATTGGTATCGGTGCA